TAGATACTTTGATCAGACCACTATGAAGGTAAATCAATGAGTGAAGGAACCATTTAATATGAAATCTATTAAAAATTAGAAAGTGGTAGAAAATATATGTCTAAAAATTTGTTTCATTTAAGAATATAATTGTTTATTTTATTTACTTGTCATCCACTACAGATTCAATTCTCAAATATGTATGATAAATTTATCTCAAGTACTTTTAAAATGGAATTTGGGTTCTTGCGCACAAGTGGTTCGCTTTTTTAAATAATCTGCGCAGACTACTTATAAAATACCGTGTGGATGCTTTCTGATGTAGGAGGTGATGGGTCATCTCATGAACATAATCAAGCAATTTCTCGCGGATAAGTATGCCTTTCAGTGGACCGTAAAACAATGGACTTTTCTATTGTTTTATGGAATGGAAAGAATGGTAATGGACTTTTCCACTGTATACATATTAAAACTGAACATTATTCATGCAGTTTTAACAAGTACTAAATAAACTAATATAACAATGCATTGTTCCTTTATTAGTATACTAGGAACGTATTACGCATTTGGCGTTTATATATTCTTTGCAGTTATAAACTTCATTTATAAACTTTTTGATCACCACTATTTTTAAAAAAGTTAAGCATATATATAAATTTATAATCCAATTTAGAATAGTGTAATAGCCCTCTAATATAAGCATACATTTCTGCCTTAAATTGTAATTTAAATTCCATTATTCTACCACTAAGGAAAATCATCCCCGGATTAAAAGTTGACAGGTATGTCATTGATGTCAATAAGAGTACATAGCGACTTGTAACGTTTCTTTTAAATGAATTAGAACTATTTGTCCTTTAACTTTGCTTTTTAGTGCATGGATCTTTTTGTTTTACTTTCAATTCGAACTTATTATCAAAATTGATAAAAATATCTTTGGTGTCAATACAAAATGCGCTTTTCTAAAGCGAATTTTCATATTTTTGTAGTGCTTGCTTTTTTTTCTTAAAAAAAAAGTAATAAACAGAGGGATAACAAAATAATGTAAATAATCTTTTTAACCTTATGTAAATAATCTTTTTAGCAGCAAATGTTTTAGAAAAGTTTACTTGACAAAACTATCGAAAAAATTTGCAAAAAGGTGTCTTTAACAAGTCTTTTTGGTCTTTTTTTAAGGTGTTTTTTTTTTACTCATGCAAATTCTTATGGATCAAAATGAGAACAGGAAGTTTAATGTTTTTTCCTCTTTCAATACCACTATATTTCTTAAAGCATTCTTCTAAAAATACTACAATTCTACTGAATGGTTTGTAAATATACTGGTGTTAAAGTTAAATGTATTGACATCTTCTTCTCTTTTCAGTTACTCCGAATTTTGCATAGGTAAAAATGGCCCCATTTCTAAAAGCTTCAAACCTAATCTTTCGAAATGTGCCAACAGTTCTACCATGTAAAATTTTTGTTGCTAAAAGAAAAATTGTTTACATAGAGTTAGTATTGAAGTTTATCATAATTCTAAAATGACAAAACTGGCACGATTAGAAAGATCTGGATTGAAGTTTATTAATAAAGGTGTCTGGTTTTTTTACCCATGCAAATTCAAATCGATCAAAATGAGAGGAGAAAGTTTAAAGTTCTTTCCTTTTTTAATGCCACTATAATTTTAAAAGCATTCTTGCAAAAACACCACAATACTACAGAACGATTTCAGAATTGTTGGCGTAAGAGTTAGAATTATTGGTGTATTTAACTGTTGAAACATTCAGTTAACTAAAACAATTTTCTTTCAAAGAGCTATTCGCCTCCGGTCAAAAATTAATTCTTTAATTAAAATAAGTGGAGGTTTGAGGAAAAATGATGGTTACTAAAACTAGTCTTTCTGTTAAATCGCTACTACGGTTCAAAGATTTGTCTTTCTAATGTTATCTAAATGTCATATTTTGTTTCATAACTTTAGAAACATTCTTAGGAACATTTTTTTGTGCGCTAAAAGCCCTTAGTTTTCGGGTAAAAAGCAGCTATTTAATAAAACAAATATACAGATGATATTGTTAAAAATATTTGAATATTTGTAGGTAAATAATTTGTTAGATATACAAAAAGTTCTGGCTTTTAGTAATTTGAATTTCTTATTTTTTATGATTGGAATTTTCAATATTTTAAAACCGAAATACAATTTTTCCATGCAATTTGAGTAAAAATGTTCAAAAAGAAAAAAAAAAACTAATTTAAGGGAAAAAAAAACATCTGTCGAGTCAAAAAAGTAAAATCATTAATAATTTAAGGAATTTAACTTTACAAAGCTTTCCAGAGTTTGAGGAATTATAAAAGTTTTCCTAAGACTATCTCTTTTTTTTTCAGGCAAGGCAGCTTCTTATCCGGTGTGGATTTAAAAAATAGTAAATAGGGTACTTCATTTCATATCTAGCTTTTGAGAAAAGTATACAGTATTTGTAACGTGAAAACCTTGGTGAAAACTATGACGGAATAGCAACTACAACATATAACTCTACCTGCAATACCTATTAAAACTGCAATTCTTGAAAAAAGTAAAATAAAACCAAAGTCATTCGATTGTAAATATTCCGCATTTTCCAACTTCTCCGGATTTTATCCCTAAATTTTCCCCAATTAATTTAAAGAGATATAAACATTTATAGTTTTAAATGATTTTTACCATGATAACATTTAAAAAAATTGCAAAATGTATTTACGTATGCATGCCCGGGTAAACTTGATTTACATAATTAATTTGATCTCAATAAGGCTAAATATAGTACTGTGATAAAAATCAACATCGTTAAGCAATGAATAATATTTAAAAAATTTACAATAATAAAAATTGTTAAACAATCATTGTAGAACAAAAAAAAATCATCTGTTTCATAGAGTCGTAAATTAACTAAACTAAGATAATTAGACTAAATGGTAACTAAGATACTATTGCCACAGTATCTTAGTTACCACAATTGATTAGATATCAATGGCGTCAATAATAGTATAGAGGTTTCTATCGGCAAATAAATAACATTTCATAACACTTTACAAAGATTTATGATTAATTTAAGACAAAAATGAACTAATTTAATAACAATTTCATTAAATATTCTGAAATACATAAAGCTTCATAATGTAGAATCACAATCACGCAAAAAGTTTCATTGTATTAAGTTATAACAACATAAAGTTTTATAGTGATAAATAAATGAAATAAATTTTTAAAAATTCAGAAATACAGTGAAAGCAATTAAAAATACAAAGAAAATCAAACAGCACAAAAAGTTAAAGTAGTAATTTTTCAATTTTTCTCTTTTTGCTTTAAAAATTAAATGAGTGAAGAACTTGATTTCAAATTCTATACCATTTATTTCAGATTTCTCAAATACAGGATAATAATTATACACTTAATACACCGTCAACTAAGAGTCTCCAACTTCTTCATATGCATCTCAATTGTGTTTGAGTAGCCCATAACTGTTCGTTTTAAGCACAAAATAATTTATTTATTTGCACAAAAATTACGGTGCTAGCAAAAAATGTTGGTTGATAACGTAGAATTTACTAGAGTACGATTGATAACTGGTTAACAGACTGGTTTTCATGGTGCCCCCCCTTGACAAATATAAATTAGATTCAATCAAATAACTTCCTTCGAAGACTAATTTGTTCCATAAAGTAGTAGTGTGAATGCAAAATTATAATGATCCTTTCTCTCGGCCTTTCTTGCTTCAAATCCATTACCTGGATAGGGTATGTTAGTCGATGGTTATAAGAAAAAATGCGACAAATTATTTCATTTATATCAAATATCAAGGTTAAAATATCATCTATAGTTCAATTACCTTAAAGGGAATCGATTTTCGTTTTGTAAAGTCTTTCGTTTTCTAGAACATTAGAATGCTCATTTAGACTGGGGCGAGGGATTTGGCGCCCGATCCCCCCCCCCCTACATTGATTGGGGTATGCGGAAAAATTTTGACGAACTCGTCGTCGCGACAGTTCCATCCCCCCCCCCTCCTTCAGGAGAGTAGGAGAAGAGTTGAAAGCTCCTCCTTAGCATTTATTAAAAATTTACAAGAGACGCAAAATATCTTAGAATTATATTTTGCAAGTAATGTGCGAAATTTCAATATTTATATTTGTTCGTGGTATTAACACGTTCAATGCCAAGCTAATTATACATGGCTCGCCCATCCGGCCAAATGGCAACTAACTGCGAATTAAATTTGCATAGATTAGCCATATTTCGCTAGCTTTTTTAAAGGTACAGCATGTCATATCAAATGGTGAATTATATAAGTCTGTGAACTGTTTGGATATAGTGGTAGATAAAAATCTACTAAATTGAATTTATTAAACCAAGAATCACAATTATTAAACTACCACTTGAAAATATTTATTCACTGTTGGAAGCAAGTTGGCTATCTGTGTATATAAATAAAACTATTTTTGTGCATTCTATATTGCATTAATTTCTTCAAACCATTTTGGTAACGATAATAATATTAAAAAAATGAAAAATTTACTCGAATTATGTGTTTCTAATAATCTTGGCTTCGCCGGTCACCGGTGACCCCCGTTGCGCTACGAACAAACTCAGTGCCGGTTACCGTTGACCCCATGGCATTAAACGTGTTAACACAAAATTGAAAAACAGGTGGAAGGGTCTCAATCAATAACAACATCATAGAATTAAAAAAGACATAGAGTAAAAAAAAGTTGTTGTAAGCTACAGGACATATAGCGAAAAAGGAATGTAGAGAAGAACATTTAAAATCGATTAATACAAAGTATCTAAATGTCAAGAGATAAAATTTAGAGAGAAAAGTAAGTTAGTAAGAAAAGAAGTAACAGGTTTAAAAAATGATAAAAGTAAAATTTAAAAGATAAACCAAGTAAAGTTGTTTAAATGGAAAATGTATGTAAAAGGGATAAAATTCAAAAACCAGAAAGGACTGGTAACTGAAAAGCTAAGTTCATCATTTGTTCAAATATGAAATTAAATGAACTGGAATATTTACCAGGGAGTACTGAGTCAATAGGCTGCGTAATTCATCTCCGGTGGTTTTACTCCTTGTGCTGGTATACCGTCCTTCCAGTACTTGTATTTAGTATAACAGTCAGCAGCGTATAGAATTGCACCAGCAAATCCAAAGAACTAGATAGAAATGAACAACACAATGATACCCAGCACAAAGTAATAATAAGCATCAAAAGGTATTTTTTTATCTTTTTGAATGAACAAAAGGATTTTATTAAGTATCCCAAAAAAGCTCTAAATATAATTTTTTTTATTTACTTTTAATATCCGAAAATATCTATTTTATTACAACCCCAAACAAGACTGGATTAACCATATACCTGCTGGACTATCACCTCCTACATCAGAAAGCCTCCTCACGGTTTTTTATAAGTAGTCTGCGCGGACTATTTGAAAAGTAAACTAGCTGTGAGCATGAACCCAAAGTTTTTTTTATAAGTAATTGGGAGAAATTTATTTTATATATTTGAGAATTGAATCTGTGGTGGTTGACAAGTAAATAAAACAAACCAATCTTATTCATAAATTAAACTAATTTTAAGAGATATATTTGCTACCACTTTCTTAATTTGACTAGATTTTCTGTTAAATGACTCTTTTGTATACTTGTTTACCTCCGTAGTGGTTTGATCGGACTACATATCAAAAACCGTGTGGAGGCTTTCAGTTATAGGAGGCGTTGGCTAGATTCTTATTTTGCACTAATGGAAAAAGTGCCTTCATGAAAAACGAAGCAGCAGGTATGCATATAAATTAAAAGGAAAATTTCTTCAGTTAGCTACAGTTCAGTTTCTTCAGTTATTAAAACAATGTAACAACTGATTGATTACAGAACATGATATATGATACATGGTATGTAATTTTATATAATTAATAAGTTTTTGTTGATAGAAATATTTATTTTTTCCAAATGTAAGTGCTAAAAATAAAATATTTAAGTTACTAGTCTTTATTATTAAGAAACAGAATGTTTCAGACATAAAACATTGGCATTTAAATGTTTAAAAATGTGTATGTTTGGATTAGCAGATGTTATTAGTCAAGATCTGTTAATCTAATCACAATTAGGAAAGACCAGTGGTGCTATTCGTTTGGTTATTTACTGAAACTTTTAGCTAGACCAATTTTTTTACTACACTGATAAAAGTAAATTATAGATATATCAATATAAACATATAAAAGAGTCAATGAATAATTTTAAAAAAAACAATAAGCAGCGTAGCAATGGGCAAATGAAATAAAAAATTTTTTCAATCGATGAAAAAATTAATTAGTAAGCGTATCAATAAATCAAGCCGGGAAAATGAGCATATCAATGAAACAGAAAATCAATAAGTTATTGAATCAAAGATAAATGGAAAACTCCCCATATCAATGCATCAAGGAAAGAGCGAATCAATAAATACGTGAATGAGTGAGATTACTGAATGTGCAAATCAACGAATAAGTTATTCTTCAATAAGCATTTTCATTCATGCACTCATTTGCTGTTTCAGATATTCACTCTTTTATGAATTATTTTATTCATTGAATCATCATTTTGTTATTAATGACGTTTGCTTGCTTATTCATTGATTAGAGGTAGTTGAGTTTGCTGATGAAATCATTTTTTAACACAATGATTCATTGATATCTTGTTCATAAATTCACACACTCATTTAACCCCTGAAAAAGCTTTGTTTTTTCACAAACAATTTATGCAGTTTTTTTTGCAAAAAAGAACTTTCTTGAAGAAAAAAAAAGATCGTCATCATAAATCACTGTGACCATTGAAGGATTTTTATAGTAAAATACAGATGTTATATCGGTTACATTTTACTATATTGTCATGTGTGTGAAATTTCCAAGTTCATAATTATCTGCAACCTTTCGAATGAAGGGGGTAATTGTGAACACTGTTCATAACTCTTTAATTTTGAGAAAAGTTGCCCAGAAAGTACAGTGTATGACTTAATGAAAATTTGGTTGACATTGAGAATGGTCAAAGAAAGAAGAAAAGAAAAAATTGACAAGGAAATTAACAATTTGCATGACACTTCAAAAAATCAAAAAAAAAAAAAAAAAAAANAAAGGGTAGAAGATAACAAGGATAAAAGAGAAAGTGAAACTTTTAACTAAAAACCTTTAGAATGAAGGGGGTAATTGTGAACACTGTTCATAACTCTTTATTTTCGATAAAAGTTGCCCAGAAGGTACAGTGTATGACTTAAATGAAAATTTGGTTCACAATGAGAATGATCAAAGAAAGAAGAAAAGAAAAAAACTGACAAGTTAATTAACATGTTGCTTGACACTTTAAAAAATGAATAAAAAGAAAAAAAAAGAAAAAAGGGTAGAAGATAACAAGGATAAAAGAGAAAGTGAAACTTTTAACTAAAAACCTTTAGAATGAAGGGGGTAATTGTGAACACTGTTCATAACTCTTTATTTTCGATAAAAGTTGCCCAGAAGGTACAGTGTATGACTTAAATGAAAATTTGGTTCACAATGAGAATGATCAAAGAAAGAAGAAAAGAAAAAAACTGACAAGTTAATTAACATTTTGTTAGACACTTTAAAAAATGCGAAAAGAAGAAAAAGAAAAGAAAAATGGTAGAAGAAAACAAGGATAAAAGAGAAAGTGAAACTTCTAACTAACAACCTTTAGAATGAAGGGGGTAATTGTGAACACTGTTCATAACTCTTTATTTTTGATAAAAGTTGCCCAGAAGGTACAGTGTATGACTTAAATGAAAATTTGGTTCGCAGTGAGAATGATCAAAGAAAGAAGAAAAGAAAAAAATTGACAAGGAAATGAACAATTTGCCTGACACTTTAAAAAACTGAAAAAAAAAAGAAAAGTGGTAGAAGATAACAAGGATAAAAGAGAAAGTGGAACTCCATTGTTACTTGAGGATATAGATGATGAAGCCATAAATTTCACTGACACGTGTAATCGGCGCGGAGCTAAAAAGAGAGGATCTAGTGGAATTTGAAACCACGATTTGGAAACAGAATGTATGTTTTAGTTGATGGCAAAGGGAGTTTGAGGAAACCGATCATTTGAAATACACGAGCTCTATTATTGCTGTTTATGAGAAAATGGGGAAATTGCAGTGCAAAGGTTGAGATGAAAACCGTTTTTCTTTAACAGAGTTTGTTGAAAAGACCGATGATGTCTTTTGCGTTTCAATGTATGAAATCATAGCTGTGCTATCCACACCTCAAACTTCGTAAAAATACAAACTTATTACATGCAAATTTTCTGGGTTTGTGTATGTCGAGGAATTGTAAGACTTCCCAAACACATATAACTTATGCCTTCTACTTTTGGCATCAAAGCTTTCCTTTTTTTACAACTTATATATGTTTAAAGTATAATTCTCATTGGCAAAACATTTTGTTTAAACATTTAATATGATACTTCGAATAACGAATTTGTCTTCATCTCATTCAGTTAAACTTTTCCCCCAGACATTTTCCTACATTTTGGAATGAGTTGAAGAAAGTTGTGAACACTGTTTTTTTCGTGTTAGAATTATGAAAGTGGGTAAATGTAAACAGTACGAATTGTTCTTTACAAAATGGTGGACGAAAAAGTTGGGAATAAAAGTTATTTTAGATGGAAAAAAAACTAAGCATCACAAGCAAACAAGCTTTAAAGTTAACTAATTTTTATGGTATAAAATTGAACGCGAACTTAGAAACATATTTGCTTATTTTTTTAAAATAGCTCTATCCTTCCTAATTGCTAAATTTGTATTTATTCATATTCATATCTGTAGGGATCATTTCTACTAACGCTAACGTTTATTCATATTTCCGGTTTCCATGACGTCAACACAAGTGGTATTTCCGCTGCAAGGAAAGGAAACTGACTAAAATTAAAATCGTTTGCGAAAAATCATGTTCCATCGATAACATTTTGAAGTCAATGGAGGAAGACGTCAACCCCTAAGAACGTCCAACCTCCATTAACGGAACTTTTACTGTGGAACAGAGAGTGGTCGCTCCCGAGACGTTTCACTGTAGTAAAAATTAATTTATAATTCGAAACAAAACTTCTTTCACTCGTTACAAACATCAGATTTATCCAACTCCAGAAAATGCTATGTGAATTAAATAAGCATTTTAATACATACACATACCTGCCAACTTTTAATCCTTTCCATTATCATTTTTCTCAGTGGTATTAAAATGGAATTAAAACTTCAATTTTAAGCATAAAAATACGTTGTATTTGAGATACCTTAAGTTGACAACCATGATAGTAACGCATATTAATATATGCGCTTAATTTTTGTAAGAATAGTGGTGATCAAAATCATTTAAAAATTAAATTTATAAAAGAAAAAAATAGTATATATTTACTACCACTTTAAATATGAAAATAAAATCTTCCGGAAAATCCAAAAGAGTTGGCTGGTATGCAAATGTTTCGATGAAATCTTCACATGAAGTAATGCATTTATTTTGTTCTCGGCTGTACAAGTTTAAGTACTGTTTTATGTTAACTTTGTAACATTTAATGCGTGTTAAGTTTTGTAACTTTTAAACACACAAATTTAAAGAATGTGCATATGAAATCGCAAATAATTTATACTAAAGTATATAATAAGGTGTAGATAGTAATATACATGGGTATGACAAAAACATCGAAACACTTCTATTTTATACTCTATGTAAACAATCTTTTCGTGGTGTATATTTTGGGAGATTTTACATGGCAAACTACCAACGCCTCCTATAACTGAAAGCCTCCACACGGTGTTTTATAGGTAGTCCGATCAGATCACTGTGAAAGATTTCCGCTCTTAGAAGGAGTCACTTAATACAAAATCTAGTTAAATTATAAAAGTGGTAGCAAATATATGACTAAAAATTTATTTTATTTATGAATATTATTGGTTTGCCTTATTCACTTGTCAACCACTACAGATTCAATTCTCAAATATATATGAAGAATTTCTCTCAATTACTTTCATAAAAGGTTTTGGGTTCATGCACACAACTGGTTCACTTTTTAAACAGTCTGCGCGGACTACTTATAAAAGATCGTGTGGAGGCATTTTGATGTAGGAGGTGATGAAACTACTGGCACAACTTGCAAATCATACAGGATGCCTTTTTCACACATGCAAAATTTTAGCCTCGATCAAAATGAGCTTAGGAATTAAGAAGCTAATTTCCTTTTTTAACACCTCAATAATGAAAACACTATTGCAATATAAACTACAATCCCTTAAAATTATCCTATTGAATTGCTGGTATTAAAGATGGAATAAATTTATTAATTTCTTTTCCTTATTTTGGACGATCCAAATTTTGGATGGGTAAAATTGTCGTCATTTCTAAAAGCTTCGAACATGATCATTCGGGATGCGATGGCTCAGTTGAAATAGCGATCGCCTACCAATGAGGTGAACTGGGATTCGATCCTGGCGATGGCTGGTCGATACGAATTCTGCATCCGGCTTGCACCGACCACTGTGCTGATGTGAAATATCTTCAGTAGTTCCTTTAAAAAGTCCTCCACGAAGGCAAATTTCTCCCAATCCAGGAGTTCCCTTGTGTTCTGGATTGGGCTCAAAATTACAAGGCTACGGAGTTGAACATTAGTAGTCGTAAACCCAAAAATTGGGTCGGTTGTTCAGCGACTGTTATAAAACATGATCATTCAAGTTTTACTTATAGTTTTACAATGTAAAATCTTCCAAAATATTTACTGCGAAAGGAAAGATTTTTTTTTCACATATATAGTTATCATAGAAGTGTTTCCGAAATTTTGTTCAATACCTGCACATAATAAAGTATTTATAATAATATGTATAATAAATAGGCTATATATTCTCACTCCTGCAGCAGCCCAGGCATCATCTCGTCCTCCTTTGACAGCAACAACCAGTGCCGCAATCATGTAGAATAATGTCCAAGTCGCGGCATACAGCAGTTCCTGAAACACCACCAATCATTACATTTTTAGAAGTTAGAGAAACGTTCCTTCAAGTTTACAGATTTGGAAAATACAAAATTTAGTTTCTGTTTAGAAGAATACATGTAGGTATATTACGTAGGATTTTTAGAAGCCAAGTAACATGGGTAAAACGAAACACTGTGAATAATTGTACAGAAATGGACACACTACAGATTCGGTGCAATAAACAAGAATCTTGCTCCGTGTCTAAACACAAAATAGTCATTTTATGTTTTGATACTGGGGAAGGCTCTTGTTTTAACACGTTGAATGCCATGGGGGTCACCGGTGACCGGTACTGAGTTTGTACGGTGACCAGCGAAGCCAAGATTATAAAAAACACATAATTCGAGAAAATTCTTAATTTTTTTTTATATGATTATCGTTACTAAAATGGTTTGAAGAAATTAACGCAATATAGAACACACAAAAATAGTTTTATTTATTTACACAGAGATGCCAACTTGCTCCGGACAGCGAATAAATATTTTCAAGTGGTAGTTTATTAATTATGATTCTTGGTTTAATAAATTCAATTTAGTAGATTTTTATCCACCACTATTTCTAAAAAATTTGTTCATTTTTTTAGCACTTTTAAAATTAAACAGCTTATTTTTAAATGAACAGAAGTTTGCAGTCTAGAAATCACTAGATTTGTTTATGAACCACTTTATTGTTATTTTACAAGGATGCCAACTGTTTCCACTATCAGAAATTTTTTTTATAGAAATTAAAGTAAGGAATTAAAACCTAAAACTTGCAGAATTTGGGTCAATTCTGATAATGCCTTACAGACTTGCCACAAATTAATTGGAATAAAATGGTATTCGAATTATTTATATGGATTGGTAAATAAAACATTTTAAATCAGTTTTTTTTAAACCAAGAATAATTTAATCAAAAATCAAATTTGCTACCATTAGAAAAAACATTTCCACAAAGCAGGGTAAGTAAACATATCTGATAATAGTTTTGACTGATCTTATAAAATGCGTGACTGTTTAAGAAATACTGATTCATTGGTTACTTTACAACTTATGTTCCTTTTTCTTTCAATTCAAATATTATTATTCTCTCAGAACTAAAAACGACGATTAGAAACCCCTATAACCTTTCTTTTAAATCAATATAAACGATTTCGCTTAAACAAAGAGGTTCAGCTTTTTCTCAATATGTAGAGTTCGTTTACCAGGAGTTGGCACTTGCCTCCGCCTTCATCACGTGGTATCCAACGATACTATTTCGCTGTTTATGGGAAAAGCATGTGAACAATCCTGAACAAGGTTGATATTTGGCAATCGGATGACTAAAATATTTATTTCGCAATCTTAATGTGCATTTTTTTAACATTAAATATTTCATAAATTTGATGACATTTCGTTCCTTTCAGTGAATAATTTGTCAGTTTTGAGACATATTGATACAATTTATTTAATTAGCTACAGTAATGAAAGGTATTATAGCAGAAGATAAAGCGAAGTAAGTGACTGAAAATGAATTCATTGTTTGCCTTTGGCGAGCATTAAGGGTTGTTTCAATTTTAGGAGCGGAGACGTTTTTCCTTTTACTCCCGTGTGGAATTGAACTCTTGAAGAGGAGGTGAAACCGAGTGCCAACTCTTGGTGAACGAACTACATATATGACTGGGAGAAATACATAAAAGCAATTTAATTCATATTCTTGAATAAAAAGAACGTAGTAAATTATAATTTCTTATTATCCTGCCGCGGAACCACCTTGTTGAAACAAAGTAAAAAGAACACTATATACATTTTATTTTTCGTTCGGAATAAGAGCAGAGCACAAAAATAATACTTTTATTCATCAGCAATTCGGAAACAGACTGGAAGTATAACCGGGGTGAGATCTCCAATTTTTGATACCGGGAGAACTTAATTACTCACCATGGAATGGCATTGCATTTGCTAAGTGGGTCGGATATGCCTTTGTAAGTAGATGCCGGGTTATCTAGAATATCAATATTATAAAAGCACGTGATTCTATTGAGACTTTTTGAGAATAGCAGCGCATGATGAGAAACTTATCTAAAAATTATACAAAATTAAAAAAAGCACATTTATGAGACAACATACACTGAAAATATGAAGGATATATTACTTACGATCGCAAGCCAAGGGACGAACTTTAGTTTTTCGATGATGTGAAAGAAGTAGAAGACTAAAAGCACGAATGTGACCGTGAGGCCTGTAGACGCGACGAAGTTGAACCAGTTACTGTTCGAGCACCAACTACAGCCAGAAGCCATGATACAGATCATGCCTATTATGTTATTTACCTAAAAATTGAACTGCTCTTATTATTATCCCCAACAAGAAATGTTATACAATACAGATCTTAATCTTGTTTCGCTAATAAAAATTCTTTTAAAGTGACACAAGAACTGAAACCCTTTTTTTTTATGGTAGATAAAATCATCTTTGTAGTCCTTTTTTTCCAAAAAGGCAAAATCATAACTTTTTTTGTCATGTAGGACATGAGCATAAGTGAGACCTTAAACTGTACAATCTAGATAAAGCGACATATAACTCTTTGTTGTTAAAAAAATTGAACTGATGCTTGCTACAAAGTACCTGCCCGCGAAGCGGTACACCTCTCTTCTTCATCAGTATTGGTGCCCATGTGCATCACCTCCTTCATCAGAAAGCCTCCACATGGTATCTTAAAAGCGCAGACTGTTTTAAAAGTGAACCAGTTGTGCGCATGAACCCAAACTCTATTTTAAAAGTAATTGAGAGAAAATTATAGTACATATTTGAGAATTGAATCTGTAGTGGTTGACAAGTAAATAAGACAAACCAATAATATTCATAAATTAAGCAAAATTTTAGACATATATTTGCTACCACTTTCTTATTTTTAATAGATTTTTTATTAAATGGCTCTTTTCGCAGAGTTGCTAACTTGCTCCGAACAGCAAATATATATTTTAAAGTGGTAGTTTATCGATTGTGATTCTTGGTTTAATAAATTCAATTTAGGTGATTTTTATCCACCACTATTTCTAAATAATTCTTAGTTTTATATAATTCACCAATTTTTAGTACCAAAGTCCTGCTTTACCTTATAAAAAAGAACCAAAAATGGTCAAATATTTGCAAAATTTGCTTTGTTGTTATTTACCGTTTTTTTAGTTGTTTCGACGTGTCCGGAGCAGTTGGCATCTCTGCTTTCGCATACTGGTTCACCTTCATGGTGGTCTAATCGGACTATCTACAAAAAAACCGAATGGAGGCTTTCAGTTACAGGAGGCGTTGCCATGGGCAGCTGAAATGATGGCAGTAATAAAAAGTGAGTGAAGTATCGGTAGTGGACAATAGGTTTAAACCCATGGTCCTTCCTCTATCTGAGGAAGTTTAAAAATAAGTGGATGCTAAATGTTTACAAGCAATTAGTTAAGCATTCCTAGTGGTTTGTTAACCGCTAGACTATGTATCTGTACACCGGGAAATGCTAAACGAACACAATTTGTCAACTTTTATACTTTTTTCGAGTGACATAATAAAATGACCCAGGACAGGACGACCCTGGTCTGTACTAGGCTGTCATGCTGATGGAACAAGAAATTACAGTCCTAATATAAAGTCCAAATTTTTTTATAGTTCAAATAACTTTGAGAAGTCTCCGATTAAGAGATGGAGAAAATGAAAGCATTGTAGTATAAAAGTAAATTTTAAATATTTTATAATGATATTAGTATTTATGTCAATCTTATCAATAGCATATATGAATATCGTGTATTATAAAGATACAACATTTTGACTGAGATTCAAAATTATAATTAATATAATTATATATAATAATGTTCCTTTTCAAAATTATTTCTTGAGAAGTTGAAATTTTCAACCCAAAATTAATATTGAAAAAAATAGCTGATTATACATATCGAAATATTATATTTATTTTGAACTTTATTAAAGTAAAGCTCCTTCCACTATAGCATTTTGTTTGGCTATGAGAAACGTAGAATTTAAGGATCCATAATTTCGTGACCAACGGTAAAAATGTGGTCAGTATTTGTGTCCAAGCTGTCTTTACTTCCTAAACAAGTTTGTTAGGCTTAAAGTCACTACTGAGTATAGGACCAAGTATAACACTATTGCAGCTTTTATCCTTAGTGCCATCACGGCTTCTATTATTTATTATATTTGTATATCGTATGTATATTTATTATTCTGGAAACTATTATTTGTGAGCATAAATTTTTTAACTAAAAGATACTTATTACATTGTGATTTATTCAAAATAGATTAGAGACGCTAATTCCATTATTATAATTATTTAAAAACGTTGTTCCAATACTCTTAAGCCTAACTATCATAATCACATAAATCAAAATGGCAATTCCTACTTCCTTAATTGCCATTACCATTTGAACTTTAACGACACCAGTTGTTTCCATCTCCAAATAATATCCTATCGATTATAGACAAAGGTAAAATGGGTCATGCATCTCATTTGGAGGAATATTATCTCTGTTCGCTCTTCTCATCGATGACAGAACTGATGAAGAAGTGTCATTAATATCCGTCTTTAAATATCCTCTCCCTGATTTCTATCGTTGTCCCACCGAGTATCGATCCGTTAGTGATTAGAAGGACTAATGTATATTATTCCCAGTGCACCACTATCATTAAGAGAGAACTTCCCATCTAGGTATATCGTTTGAATATGAGGCATCCTCCTTTAATAAATATTTTAAAGTTTGTTTTTGTTTGCTTATTTGTTACTGTAGGTTATATTTTTTGGTCATATTGACGAAATATGTAGTTTATTTTAAAATCGCTTGAATACGAAGTATCAGTAGGTTATATTGTTTTGGTCACATTGACAAAATATATAGTTTATTTTTAGATCGTTTGAATACGAAGTATCAGTAGGTTATATTGTTTTGGTCACATTGACAAAATATATATAGTTTATATTTACATCGTTTGAATACGAAGTATATCTCGCTTTAATAAATGTCTTAAAGTATGTTTTCGTTTGTAAATTTGCCGCAGAGTGTATTTCATTTGGTCACTTTGACAAAACTAAAGTACATTTTAATGAATCACTTCGAGAAAACTAGGATATGTTTTATTTGGTTTCTTTTACGAGATATATCGTCAAAGACGAACAAGATATACCTCGCTGCGCGGAATAAAAATACCATCAACATGCAATCGTGAGTCGAGGGATCGTTTGAATCTGGTCGTTTGATTTTTAATAAATATTTTAAAGTTTGATTTTGTTTGTGAATTTGTCATGTATATTATGTTTGGTCAGTTTGACAAAACTTTGATAAAACCAGGGTATATTTTATTAGGTTACTTTGGCAAAATATATTGTCAAAGAAGTATGAGATTTACCTCGCTTCATGGAGAAAAAAATCACGTCTGTATACAGTCGTGATTATTAAAATATTCTATAATATGAAAAATTAAAATTTTGAATTTATGATTCCTATGTAGTAATTAAGAATAATGAAAAAGTTACATTACATTTAATTAATTGCGATTTATCATACACATTTGTATCGTATTTATAAGTTGAGACATTTTTTTAAAACTATAGATTTAGAGGTGAAAATCACATTCTCTGCCGTTATTTAAAGATTGTGTGACTGAAGAAAATGTACATGTGCAAAAATAAATAAATAAACAAAAATAAACGAAACATCTTGAATGACATTTAAACTCATTATCGGATCTTTACGATCTAGAACTCAATCTAAATGGTTCGAAGGTGTGACCTCAAATATGCTCCTTAACTAGTATAGACGAAATTTTAAGTTACGAGATCAGATCCAAGCACGTACTTTTCCGAATAAAAATGAATTTTTTATCGATGGATTTGATTTTCTGAGCATAAAAATATATGGGGTAGCGGCAATCTGGAAAATATGATCCGAATACTTCGGTCAGGAGAGCGGTCCAAAGTTTAGTTTCCTTAACGTTAATTTTTCTTTTTGAGTATTTCGTTATATCTCGAGAACTTTTAAAGTAAATTGATAAATTTTTACACGCAATTATAAAATTCATTTATAAAGAGATAATTCCATGCAAAAAATAATTTATAGTAAATATTTATTATTTTTATTATTTAATTTAATAACAGTCGAAAAAATTTTGAAATGTAGGGTATACAATTTTTTACATCATTTTAAGTAATATAAATTTACATGGCAGAATACATAATCGATGGAACAGATCCTGAGAAATTGAATTTGAAAAAAGTCCTGTATTTGAAATTCGATTTCTCCTTAACTATTTGACCAATTTTGTAAATTTAGATTCCTTAAAATGATGTAAAAAAATTGTATGCTTAACAATTCAATATTTTTTCTACATGAAATCGACATATTTTTTCTATATAAAAAATTATAAATATTTACTGAAAGTTATTTTTTGCATGTATTATCTTTGAACAAACGAATTACCTCTGTGCAAAAAAATTCTTAATCCACTTAAAAAGTTATCGAGACATTGAGAAATATGCAAAAAATGAAATTAACATTAATAGGTCCAAATTTTGTACCATTCTCCTGCTGACCAAACCATTGAGACCATATTTTTCTCGATTGCGGTAATCCCTATTTTTTGGGGCTTAGGAAATTGAATCCGTTGGTAAAAAAAGAATATTTATTCGAAAAAACCCTGCTTGTGTCTATCTAATTTCGTAACTTAAGATATCGTTTGCACTAATTAATTAGCATATTTGAGGTCACCTCCTCGAACTGTTAAGATTGTGTCGAAGATTGAAAATCCGATCATTAGAACAAAATTTATTCAGGGTGGACAGTTTTTTCAGCGCTGTAAAAAGGATAATGAATGAAAAACATTCGACTTTCTTTTATGCTAAATTTCCACTCAAAATACACGATAAATATAACTACAGAATTGAGAGGAATACAATTTTCGAAGTGTTCAAAGTTAAAGCAAAATGTCTCGAAATATTTATAAAGAAATGTATTTTAATTGATTTACTTTACAAAAACAAGTTTTCAATTGTGTACAAATTTTTTTAATTAAATGGTTTCAGAGATATGACGAAATACCTCAAAAAAGCAATATTAATCCTTTTCACTCCAAATGTTTTAACATACTAATTAAGTAAGTGATAAGAAATTTAAAACTTGTTCCCAATCCTAGCTTTCGTTTAAAATAAATCAATGTTTTTAGAAAAGCATAAAAAATCAGAACATTCGAAAATTTTTTAATATTTAAATTAAATGAAAGAAATTTTTTCAACTGATATTTGTTGCTCACACTTTCACGCATTTGCTAAAAAAAAGTA